CTTAAATTTTAGGTCAACATTCAACCGGAGACATGCAATTTTTGGGAAAATACCAGGCATCTCATTCGTGGTCCACACAAACACATCAGCATACTCAATCAAAAGTGCTGCAAGATCCTCTCATTCCACCGATAGTAATGATCTGCCGAGTAGGAAGTATTTGTCTTCACATCCGTCCAGAGGTACTTTGTACAGTCCTTCGACAATTCGGTAGGCAAGGGCAGTTGAATGGTCCTTGACCACCGCTCATCGGACTTTGGTTGCTATTTCATAGCTTTGTCCATGGAACCATCAGCTCTCGCTGCTTCAACTTTAATATTGTAAACTCAAGCGCAGGTTGAGCGAAGTAATATAATTTTCAGAAGACCGAAGTCGAACCCTTAAGGAATTGTAACAAGAAAGCAATCACACAAATACTTAAACAAATTTAAAAATAAATGATTTATTTAGAAAATTGTTCAGCAAAGAAAGTTGATTTAAATAATTAAAACAGTAATAAAAATACTGGAGCATTAGGTACTCCTTCTCAATTCCATACAATAATGATTAAAGACTCAAATCTTAACTTGAGACAAAAATCAGATGTCGATTTATTCGAGTAACAAATCAAGTAAGAAAATCAAAAGTTATAATCAAAAGATTATTCAGGAACCTAAATAATCATCCAATTATATTATTTTATGAAATAATGATAATTACCTCACGCGTGAAATAACTTGTTATTTACTTGCAGCAAAATTCAAGCAATCGATGTAAATGGCACAACGACTTAAGGATTTTTACAAAGTAAAGACTTTTTTATAAGATCAAAAGTTAAATTAACAAAATATCATAAATTATTAAACTCAGAATCAATAACATTACCGTACTTCATTGAGAGGTTCTCCCCTAGCCTAACTTAGTCTTCTAGCCGGACATGACGAACTAAAATAAAAATAAAAAAGATGAAAAAAAGAATAATAATAATATCTAAATGAGAATCCCTATTTATACTAAAAATAAATCTTAAGTGTATGTAGAAGATATAAGGTTGGTTTGGAAGGAATTCCTTTCCAAAAAAAAAAAATCTTGTAAGGTTATACCTGTGCATAAAATACTTGGGACGCAGGTACAAAATTTGTCCAAACTTCGAGCTTGAATTTCTCATATTTAGAGTTTGAATCACGAAAACTTCGTGAAATATACTTTTGTATCCCTTGAAGTCTCCCCAAAAATTAAGTAAATCGGATATCAGAGTCAAAAATTATGACCAAAATACTAAAGACATGTCAAATCTTTATCTTCTAAGATATTTTCCTAATCCAACTCTAAATGAGTTTTCTTCCAACTTTGACTCTTATAAGGATTAAATTGTTGGCATATCTTCAAGTCTTCTTATTTCAATCTTGCCTCTTCAATTCTTATCAATTGTGATTCTTTCTCTAGTGATTGTTTCACTTGCCTTATCCATTATTACTTTAAATCAACCAATTTACCTGCAAAACAAACCAAACAACTAGAAAAAGTATCAAACTAGAAAATCAAGAAATTTAACACATTTAATCACAAATAATATGTAATTAATCAATCATTAAATATAATAAAATAGCAATTTTGATGGTTAATCACTCGCCTCATTACATTCCTTTCTTTTTACTGATGCCAATAAATTGGTTTGTGAACTCACCTGGTCTCCCCTGATACTGACTATCCCCTTGGCCGAAGGGTCTTTCCACTAAACCCTACCAATGGAGTATTGGCCGGTTTGAAATCTTCCTGTTTCAATCCGAGCTTTTGAAAAAGATCCATATACATTATTTCGGAAGAACTCCCTTGATCGATCAGCACTCGCTTCACATCAAAATTGGCAATTCGTAGTGTGACCACGAGAACATCATTATGGGGCCAGTGAATCCCAATTAGATCCTGTTTGAAAAACTTATTGTTCCTCCTGATTCATCTAGTTTCAACTTCTTGTTCTTAATCTCTAGGGTCATCCTGAATTCGTAGACCTCTCTCCCTTTGGCCGTTTTCTGAATTTAGGTCTTGGCCGAGTTGTTGGTTGTCATTTGAGGATTTGTCACCGCATGGATGACTTCGATAACACTTACTGTTGTAGTTCAGTCTTGTGAGCTGGCTCCTCCATCGAGACCCTTGTTGCCTCCTGGCTCAATAAACTCGGAGAGATACACAGCTTTCACCAGTTCCTCCAAGTGTTGTTTTAATGACTGACAATTTTTGGTCATGTGTCCTATGTCCCGGTGGTATGAACATCTAAAATTCGGGTTTCTTTTGGTTGGGTCGCCTAACAATTTGTTAGGCCACTTGAAGTAAGTCTTCCCCTTTATCTGGGTCAATATTCTGTAGATCGGCTCTTTGAACACGATGTTCACCCTAGTAAAGAGAGAATTAGAGGGGAGCCCTTCCTTCTCCTTTTTCTTGCCAATGTCTCTATTCTATTTGGCGAATCTTTCCTTGCCGAACTGCTCCCTTCCTGTATCTATCGCCAGGTCGTCGTCTACTTTGGTATACTCTTGTATCCTGGCTATAAGCTCTTCCATGTCCAAGGTTGGCCTCCTTGTAAGGGATTGGTATAGCGAGTGTTCCTTAGGTAACCCTATTTTGAACGATGCCACTGCAATCTCTGGGTTATAGGCTTCAATTTCGTTCATAGTTTTCCAATAACGGTGAGTATATTCTCGAAGGGTTTCGGCGCTCTTTTTCTTCAACATTAATAATGCTCCAACGTCTTTGGGTTGGTGACTGCTAGTAATGAATCTAATGATGAACTGCTTAGTAAGTTGCCCCCAGCCATCTACAGAATTCTTAGGTAGACTATTGAACCACTTCATGGCTGATTCCCCAAGGGTACTAGGGAAAATGATGCACAATAAGGATTCATTCTTCCAGTGGACCGTCATTAATTGCCTATAGTGATGGATGTGTGAAGTTGGGTATATTTTACCATCGTAAAGCTTAAAGTTCAGAACTGTGAATTTGCTAAGGATTCTGCCATGCTCAATCCACCTAGTGAAGGGTGAATCATTCGATCCTCTGTCATATTCTCCTATGGCCCTCCAGGCTAGATCCCTAGCCGACCTTTGCTCTAGCCTCCTGAGTCGGCTGTCAAGTTCCTCGGTAATGAATTGCTTCCATTCGCCTTCAATTCTAGATTGATGTCTCTTCCTCCTGTACTCTTCTTCCAAGGTTTCCTCCCTTCCACTTCACTTTTTTTTTTCGGCCTTCGGTTGTCCACTCTCATGCCTTCGTCCTCTCTTGTCCCACGTGGATTTTTCACTCGCCCTTCTCAGTTCAAACTTGAGCTCCTCGTTTTCTCACCTCAAGTCTTTTTCCGTAGCATAAGCTCTCTTAAACATCTTGTCGTGCACATCAAGTCGATCTTGTAGTGATTGTATCAACTTACTGATGGCAAGGTTTGCCCCCTCGATACAGAGGGATTCGCCCCTCATTGTATTGCATTGATCTTTGTCTTGAGGTGGTCTGAAACTTGCTGAAGAAATTTCATCGCCTTCCCTTGGTTTATCTGTACTTTCGTTGATATCCTTCCTAATGTCAAAGTTGGAAGGGAAAGACACTCGATATTCGGAGTCTGAGCCCTGCTGTGCGTCATGGGCTCCCGGTGATTCAATGGTACTCTTCACTCTTGACATTTGGCTTTTTGTTCAAGAGACTTTCCCACAGACGGTGCCAAAAACTGTAGGGAAAAAATGGGTTTACCTCACGTAACTCTCTTTTCTGGATCTGAACTCAAACTTTGTTAACTCTTTCCTGCAAAACGAACAAACTGTCAAGGATCAAAGTGCTTCGATCGAAGGCATTCTGATGCTTAAGTTAGTAATTAAAGAATGTGACACACCTTGCTTCAATTCAGAATTTCTGTTTGGAAACTTGCAAGAATATCCCTTAATGTTCTCCCTATTGACTAGCTCCTTCCAAGCCGATAATCATGGTCCAGTCATATAGATCCCTTGATTGTGTTGATTTATTTAAGGTGATATTTGTTTAAATGTAGAGCTCGGTTTTGCTGAGGCTATGCATGTAGAGCTCGGTTCTACTGAGGCCGAGCTGTTACTTCTTGGCCAAGCATGTGACAGTTCGATAGGTTGCTTTGCTGATTAACTCATCGTTCCCTCACGTGTTTTGATAACCTCATTATCACGTGGGCTTATTTAATGCCTATTACATGTGTTATAATTCTTGATGCTCCTTCAGAATATATCCAGAAAAAAGTAGATGTAGCACAAATAAGACATAAATTAAGGGAGAATCAACTTAAGTGGTTTGGACATATTTATAGACAGCCTAATACGGCATCGGTGAGAAAAAGTGATATTATAGTTACTGAAGGTAAACATAAGGATAGAGAAAGACCAAAATTAACTTTAAATGAAATAGTAAAAAAAAGATGATGATAACTTATAGTTTAGCTGAAAACATTGTCCTTGTTACGCCGTAATAGCGGCATAGACTTTATTGAGTTGAGCTGGGTGTTTCCCAAGCTCAAATCTTAGATCCTAGAAAGTATAAGTGAATTTTTTAACTTTTGTTTTCATATAAATTATTTTTTATTTAAAAAAAGATATATTCAATATCATTGACCCCCTTCACCTCTCAAGATGCTTTCAAAAATATAATAGTGCTAAAAACAAATAAATCAGGTCACTTGGAACAAGATGCCATCTCTGGTTCCTGCTTTTCCACCAAACTTCTCAGACCTCAGACAACACAGGTAAAAGACTTCCCTTCTTCAAGATCAATCTCATTTTCATGTCCAACTCTGAAGAATTGAACAAGTCTGTCGGTTTTGATAATATCAATGATATTAATACCTGAATATCACCTGTTCAAGTTTTCAGCTTCTGTTACATGTGAACTTCAGAAGTTTCAGAATGAGAATGACACAGCTGGATAGAGTCTTAGGTTGCCATATAATGGCTACAGTTTTCTAGTCTTGTGCTCTTTGGCAAGAGAGAGACTTGTTGATATCAGTAAAACAGACTATGGTTATGGAAATTTTAATTTCTGTGATACTACTGTTTGTGGGTATAGCTGTTCTGGTCATGATTCATTTTTGTATAGTTGGGAGGGTTTTCAGCAGGAGTTACAACAATGGAGATATTGCTGATCAAATTGAAATGAGAATCACTAGAAGCCCAAGCATGTCCAGTGAAGACATAAAGGAACTGCCATGTTTTCATTATAAGGTGGAGAGAGAAAATAGCCCCTTGGAATGTGCCGTGTGCTTGGAGAATTTCATGGTTGGTGACAAGTGCAGATTGCTGCCAAAGTGCAACCACATCTTCCATGCTGAATGCATAGATTCTTGGTTGTTGAAGACAGCTGCTTGCCCAATATGTCGAACCGGTGCGAATTTACAGAAGATTGATGGGCAAAGTAGTGGCTCAAGCGAAGTTGGGGTTGAATTTGGGGTTGAATTGACATAGGGATCAGGACTCTTAAGAGGGACGTCCAACTTTGCAATCAATATGTTGTGGGATCGATTTTTTCAAAGATCAAGGAAGCAGAATTTCAGGTCTGAATATTGAGGACCATTGTTTCTCTGTTTCTATGGTTTGCAGCGTTCAGATTCTGACCCTTTTAGTTACCTTTGTGTGATTACACAATACAATACCAGGTAAGTGTTCTCTGTTTTCCTGTATTCCNGGAATTTCAGGTCTGAATATTGAGGACCATTGTTTCTCTGTTTCTATGGTTTGCAGCGTTCAGATTCTGACCCTTTTAGTTAGCTTTGTGTGATTACACAATACAATACCAGGTAAGTGTTCTCTGTTTTCCTGTATTCCTTCTTCATCTTTAAAAGATTTTGTTAAAAAAAAAACAGATTTAGATAGAATTGCAGTTCTTCAGAACAAAAGTACAGCATAGTTAGACCACAGTTGCATTGTGTGCAGTCGAATTAAAATGGGAATAAGTTTACTCAGTAATATCAATTGAGACGGAGGAGACAGGACATCGGAGATGGAATAGAACTAGGACAGAGACAGACCGGTCACGGAACCGATTTCGCCGTAAGGAAAGAGGCAGAGTAGCATCTCTATGTATTAAGATGTGATTATATTGTATTATGCCTTCTTTATCTTCCTTGTGCTCCGTTCGGTACGACGCAAAAGTGAGAAGATGAAAAGTTAAAAAGATAAAAAGTTGAAAGGATAAAAAAAACATTATATTTAGTAAAGAAAGAAAATAGGATGGATGAAAAAGTTGATGGATTAACTTTCCTTCCAACTCATCAAAATTAATCTCTCCAAAATCGAAAGGAAACTAGATGGAAAGTTAATTATTTATGTTAAGATGCATATTATTTGTTTATATAGCTTATGTATATATTAATTTTATATAAAAATATAATGATAAAATATGTATATATATTTTAAAAAATTTTAAAAATAAATTTTTAAAAAAATAAAAAAATTAAAATTTTAAATTAAAAAAAATATATTTTTTCCTTCTTAATTAAGGGTGAAAATTTTAAACTCAACTTGATGATACGACTCGAACTCGATATGAAAATAAACAGGTCAACTCGGAACTCGACACGACACAATTAGTTAAATGAGTTAAGTTAGGTTTGACTAATATTCGATACAAACTCGTAATGACTTAACACGAATCTGATACGACACGACTTGACTCAATTGTCACCCCTAATTTTAGCCAGTATAAAAAAAATTAAAAAAAAAATAATTATTTTTATTTTTCATCTATCCAACCAAATACAAAGAAAGGGAAGTGTATCCTTCTTATTTTTCATCCTTAAAAGATAAAATGTATCCCTCTTATTTTTCATCATTGTTACTTTCTATCCTTCTTATTCAGTCTTACATGTTGGATTTTTACACCACACCGGTCCCATACCCCTGTTCTGTGATTCTGTTAACATTTACTGGTGATGAAGGTGAATGCCTCCTCATTTCAGGCACCATAGGCCCCACATTCGATAACATAATATAATATTTATGTCTATGCATATAGGTGTTGACAAAAGATATAATTATTTGGGACCAAAGTTCTTCATAATCAAGTTGGAAATTGTTAAAGATTTTAAGGACATTAAGTTTGGTCAGAGATGGGGGGTTTTCTTGTCATTGATTGAGGGGCATGTTGCTCCTGCTCTTGGCCTCTTCTATATGTTTTTAATCCTTTTGAGTAGCCATTGGGGTTTGGTTTTGACATATTAGAAAAAGTTATTCGCAGTTATGGGGTTATAAATAATCAAGAGTAGTACGTATTGAGACGAACCCAACAGAAAATTGTTCAAGCTTTGCTCAAAATATAACAAGGATGAACTAAACGGTCTAAACTTTAAGCTTGACTCGTTTATCTTGAAAAGTTAATCCCAAACGAGCTTTTATTCACCCGTACATGTATAAATTAACTTTTCGTGAAATCTTCAAATACTAATTAGATTATCGAACTACGTTCGATTGGAGCTTCCAAAATAGATGTGCTTAAAAATGTACTTGAGCATTGCTTGTTTGTCACACAAGCCTACAACAAGCAAGCCCTTGACGAGCCAATCCGTAAATTTTGTAATGCAACTAAAACTAAATTCAGGGTCACTACAATTTACTTTGTACTACAAATCCAATTAGCAAATTTTGTCGCTTTGGACACTTCTCATTGTGTAGAGTTTTCCCAATTAGTTTGGAGCAAGATAAAGAGAAAGATTAGAATTCCCGGAAAGGCTTGAGGAGAGGGTAAACAACAGTGGAATGATATTGAAGAAATGGAGAGACGAGATACTAAAAATCTCCCAATTTTCATACTGTACTTTAGCCTTTTTTTTGTTGGTTAAAAAAAAGACGAGGTAAAGGAAAGCTTTCAGAGATCACTTCGACAGGCCCTCACTGATGGGATTATAAGATTCTGTCCGCATCTGTTATTCCTCTCGGGAATAAATTTAACCAGACAAACATAGTGATCAAGCACCAAACTTTAATTTAGACTCCAAAATTCGAATCTCCACCATTAGACAATACCTTAGCCTTTTCTTCTTTTTAGATGGTCAAATTTGAGGGTTGATCAGAGAAAGGTCAACATTCAAACCCAACAACCACCAACCTTTTTTTTTCTTTTTTTGGGTAGACCACAACCAACCTTTGAGAGGAATGGGAAAAGTATTGATGAGACAACCACAGCCTCATAAGCTACATATCTGCGAGCATTACACAACTATCTTGACAAATCAGTGCCCCATGGCCCTCCAAGTTGAATTTATAGGATAATCTCCTTGAGTGAGAGGGCCTATCTAACTTCAATCCATTACTGAGAATGACACCAAACAGGTTGGGATGGAACAATGGAATCACTCATCACTAGAATCAAATGACAATCAAACGGAAAGTAAAGGAGATGAACCCAATAAAGAGAGTGGTTTGTACAGCTTCGTCTATTGGGATTCTGAGGATTCGATGAATGAATGTTACATGAAATTGGCATCTCCAAAAACTTGCACCAGCCAAAATGTTTCAAGGATTCAGAACAAAATCTTGAGAATCGACATTAGGGCAAAAATCTTTTGGATGAATTGCTATAAAGCGACGCAAATGAAGTCTGAAAATTAAGAAAAGAGAGTTATTTTTTGTGTCTTGGTTTACCTAGTCTCTAGGAGATGTTTCCTTTTTATTTTTAGACTAGTTGGTGAGCCACATTGTAAGGCCTACGTGCGTGTATCAAGCCTTGATTTTGTCTTTGTAACTTTCTTTTCCCTTAATTTCAATTTATATTTAGCAAGAGAGAGAGAGAGAGAGAGAGGCCTGTCAATCATCATGCCACTTAGATGGCGGGTCTCTTGCATCCTGCCAAACAACTACATTTTTCTTTGACTTCAACAAGGCACAAAGGCACAATCTCATATTCTAACTACAATTCCACATTATGAAAGGCAGTCCAATACACGACGCTTTCACCACTGTGGGTTTGGAGAGGATTACACGTGCGCGGTCTCATCGCTTACACACGTAGAGGCTGTTTTCAAAGTTTCACATCGTGAACATCATCCGTAAAACAAATCACACCCACTGTTTCCCCATCGAGGCTACAATAATAATTCAAAAAATAGACCTCAAATGAAGACCACTACAATAAACCACAAAGTGCAAGTTTCTCAACGAATTCTCAAGTCACATAAAAGCTCATGAAATCTTTTTTAAAGTGAATATATCCTATATGATCATATAACCATAATGAGTTCGAAAAAAACAAAGCAATGATGCAAAGTTCTTTGGGAACAGTGCATCAATGAGTAATATCTAGACTTAGCTCAGCTCGTCAGTATGGTTCTCCAGTTCCCTCCTCAGCTGTAGAGAGAAGTCATCATTGACATCATCATCATCCCAATCATCTTCCCACTGCTGAGTTATTTCTTTTCCTTCTTCCTTGTCCTCCCACTCTGCCAGTTTTGTGATGATCACAGAAGAATGATTCAGACCACATAGCACACAAATGACCGAAGTCTCAAGTGTCTAATAAACCACCAGAACTTCAAATGATATAGACAATTTAAGATTATTATAACCAATCATAGTAACATCTTAGAGTCATACTTACCGGGGAAAAAAAACTTGTGTGTCATTCAACAGTTCTAATACACAGCGAGCAAAAGGGGGCAGAAAAGCAGAGCAGTGCAATCTACTTGGGAGCAACTAAAGATAAATGCATGCAGGACAAACTAGTCTTCATATCTGAAAATTTTTCTCCCGTGCAAGTGAATTATAGAATTCATGACTTGTGGTATAACTAAGTACTGATACAGCAGGTTTCACATGAACGCCGAGTCCCTTAACTACAAAAAGTGAAAACAATATCAATTGACCCACACATGATTTCTTCAGCAGACAAATTTGCAATTCTGCAAATAAAGCATACATATATATACCAACCAGCATTACAGAGACGTAGATATTCCCAAGCATTGCAACTCGCCTGGCAAAAAGTAACATCAATGTTAAGAACCCCACTTCTGCCGTCATGGGCACCTTCCATTTGTAAGCAGCAGGAACAGTTTATTTGGATGGGAATTAAAGGATTTTGGTTGTCATGCTCATATGCTTAATGATGATCTATTTCCAAAAAAACTGGACAAGACAGTTGTGAAGGTCTCGTACCTCATCCTCCTCATGGATGCTACAAATGGACAAAAGCAGAATTACTAAAAGTTATCTCTCTCTCACTGTTTTGTCCAAACACTACGGTTTGATAATAATTTGAGGGTTGCAGTTTCCATTTAATATGGTTTTTCTCATAAACTGGTAGCAGCATAATCATTTATTCAATTCTTCTAGTATCCATTCAAACATATCTTTGCGTTAAAGATTCAATTCAGTCCAACATCAACTGATATATCTAATTACAAGGGACTGAACACGTGCTCCTTTCCACAACATCTGTTACAATTTCCAGCATCAGCCTTCAAGAATGGCATTAGCATACCAAAATTCACTTCTTTCAATAGCAATCATTGTTTACTTAGGCATTCTGTAGACTGAACTGGAAGCAACAAATGTAAAGAACATTCATCTGTACAGCATGCTCAACCCAATTTAAATTCCTTACCAAGGAAAGTTATTAACACAATTATTTTAATCCAAAATATGAAAATATTGTCAACCACATGACTCCACCCGACGAATCAAAGTATTGGTCGAGTCCGATACAACTCGGCCACTGCGGATACGATACCGAGACATGTTACGGAACAAATACGAGTTGTGTATGAATCGATACAACTCGGTCTAACTCAGTATCATCTCATTCGAGTAGGACGATTCGGATCCGGGTCGAACCGATTCACAAAATATCATTCCATCAAAGCTTCTGACAGTAGAGAAAATGCCAAAGAAAGGGCAAAAGAGATGAAATAGAAGATCCAAAATCTGTAAAAACACTATTTGCATGCAAAAGCCAAAATATATATGTATATATATATTCAAGAAACAACATCATCACATATCATATTTGTAGAACCCACATGGTCTCTTCAATTTTTTAAAATCAAGTAATTGGAAAATATCAATACTTACCTTTAAATCCGAAGAAACCCTAGATAGCCTCTTCTTTAAATCAAACCCCCTTTCTTCTTCTTCACAGAAACCCTAGAAAGCTTGAACCACAAAAACACATAGCAACAAAGATCCATCCGATCTTCGCAGTAGCAAAGCTTCAATCTGATACTAGAGGGAACCCGCGATCTCTCTTTCTCTCTAGCTCTCCTTTTCACTAGTTCTCTCTCTCCCTACCCCCCCCCCCCCGGGGGGCCCCGCACGAATCAAGGAGACTCTCTAGTTTCTTTCTCTCTCCAAGTCTTTAAGGGTCTATTTGTTTAACAAGATATGCTAGAAAATGCATGAAAGAGAAAATTTTAAATTTTATGCGTTTTTTAACGTGAAATAAAAAATGATAGAAAAAATAATTTTCTTCCATTTTAGATTTTCTCACATCTAATTAACTTTTTTTTCTTACAAAAAACACAAGAAAAAAATAAGAAAGTTGTGTTCAATGACTTGACTTCCCATTTTATCCTTATTTTTTTTAAAATATTCAATAAGTTATTAATTTTAAAAATTTTGTACAAATTAGACTAACTATATAATTTGATCTAGAGGTCAGGATTCAAGTCAACTCTTGTCCCTGAATTAGATTAGGAGACAATTTTTTTAAAATTTGAATAATAAAAAATATTTTTTTTTTCTTTAGACAGAGTTAAAATAATTAAAGATAATTTAGATAATTAAAAAAAATTCTTGTAACTTTCTTTTCTTTCAAACAATGGAATGAAATTGTTTTAAAATTTTCTTAGAAATTTTTCATGCTAACCAAATGCATGCATAAAAAACGTATTTTATTTCACTTTCTTTTCTTTTACTTCACTTTTTATCTCTTTCATTTTGAAGAATTAGAGAAACTTAATGTTTCATAGACATCTCGTAAAGTGTACAAGGTAGTCCTATTTAAAGGGATAAACTTAACCTGATAACAATCAAATCAGAATATAACTCCTATATACAAGGTTCTGTTTAAATTCAAATTTAAAAATATTTACACCACAACACTCCTAGAATTACACGTGTTTTCCCACACTCCCCCTCAAGCTGGTTCGTACACATCGTAAAGACCCAGCTTGCTCACTAAATCTTCGAACGTCTGTTTCTGCAACCCTTTTGTAAACAAATCAGCTAGCTGTTCTTTTGTAGGGACGTAAGGCATACAGACAACTCCTTCTTCTAACTTCTCCTTAATGAAATGTCTATCAATTTCAACATTGTTTCGTCCTATCATGTTGAACAAGATTGTGACAAATGTTAATTGCTGCCTTGTTGTCGTAGAAAAGCTTCATAGGTCCTTCAACTTTGATACTCATTTCTTCGACTAACTTTTTAAGCCACAACAGTTCACATATACCTTGAGCTGCAACCCTGAATTCTGCCTCAGCGCTGCTTCGCGCCACAACAGTTTGTTTTTTACTTCGCCAAGAGACCAGATTACCTGCCACATATGTACAGAAACCTGTCGTTGACCTCCTGTCATTGATACATCCAGCCCAATCTGAATCTATATAAGCTTCAATCTTTAATGGATGCTGATTAGTGAAAAGCAATCCTCTACCAAGTGTTCTCTTCAAATACCTTAAAATCTTATACACTGCTTCCAGATGTTTGTCTGTTGGAAAGTGCATGTGTTGACTGACCACACTAACCGAGAAGGCGATATTGGGTCTAGTGTAAGATAGATAGATGAGTTTCCCGACTAGTCGTTGATATCTCTCCTTACTGGTCTGTTTCTTATCTCCACTATCATTCAGTTTAAAGTTTGGTTCAATAGGAACCTTACTAGGCCTGCATTTTAGCATTCCGACCTCCTTGAGTAGATCCAGTGTATACTTCCTTTGCGTGACTGCAATACCCGATTTTGATCTTGCTACTTCCATTCCTGAGATATACTTCACATATTCAAGATCTTTGATTTCAAATTCCTTCCCAAGATACTCCTTAACCTCTTGAACACCTTTACTATCATTACCTGTCACTATTATGTCGTCAACATATACGATTAACACAGCGATTCTCCCTGCCGAATACTTCAGAAACAATGTGTGGTCAGCTTGACTTTGTGCATACCCGAAACCTTTTATTGCCTTTGAAAATCTATCAAACCAGGCCCTTGGTGATTGCTTCGGACCATATAGTGATCTTTTTAGTAGGCATACGCTGTCCTTTCCGTAATGTTTCTCAAATCATGGGGGGAGTGACATATACACCTCTTCTACTAGCTCTCCGTTAAGAAAAGCATTTTTTACGTCAAGCCGGTAGAGTGGCCAATCTTGATTTACTGCTATAGATATGATCACTCTAACTGTGTTCATCTTTGCTACGGGTGCAAAGGTCTCCTGGTAGTCGATGTCGCAAGTCTATGTGTATCCTTTGGCAACTAGCCGTGCTTTGTAACGGTCAATCAATCCATCAGCCTTGTATTTGAGGGTGAAAACCCATTTACCGCTAACAAGAACCTTGCCTTCTGTCGATTTAACAATCTCCCAGGTTCCAGTTTTTTTCAATGCCTTCATCTCCTCCATTACAGCCGCACGCCACTCTTGTTTCTCCAAAGCTTCTTCAATATTCCTGGGTATTTCTACAGAAGCCAGATTGAAAGCAAAAGACAAATAGGCAGGAAATAATCTATGATATGAGGTATATTTAGCAATGGGATGTTGTGGGCAGGTTCTTACTCCTTTTTTGGTTGCTATGGGTAGATTTAGATCAGTACCTTTTGCGTTTGATTCCTCAATCTCGGCTGAAGGATAGGGTAGCATTGGTATGGGTTGAAAGGTCTACATTATCCAGTTAGGATTTTTCCGCCTTGTATAAACATGAAGTTCAGGGCAGTTAGACTCCTCCCCCTCTTTGCGATTTTCTAGCACCGAGATTGAGACAATTTTTTGGAGTTTTTGAAGAAATATTTGCCTTTCAGTTTGCTAATTTTTTTGAGGGACTAAAAAATTTGAATTTGAGTTTTGGTTTAGAGAGATTGATGGAGAAGTTTGGGTATCATTTGAATTTTGAACTGTAGAGAAATTTGAAGAGATTTGAGGCTCATATGAGTTTTGAAATGAAGAGATATTTGGAACTGATTCTGTTGATTCTGATTCCCAAAACTTATCTTCCAATTCGAATTGTGAGCTTATCTCCCCCTGAAGAGGAGGTTTGGAGAAATAAGGAAGATTTTCAAAAAAGGTGACATCAGCTAACACAAAGAATTTTTTAGAGATGGGATCAAAACACTTGTATCCTTTTTGAGTAGGAGAGTAGCCCAAAAAAACACACTTAATGGCCTTAGGATCAAGTTTGCTTCGAAATTGACTGTGAATATGGACGAAGGCTTGGTAGCCAAATGTTTTTAGGGGTAAAGAGTGTAATAACTTTGTATTTGGATAGAATTTTTTAAATATTTGAATGGATGTTTGAAAATTGAGAAATTTAGATGGCATACGATTAATTAAGTATGCAGCAGTCAAAACAGCTTCCCCCAAAGATATTTTGGAACTTGATAGGTGAACATTAATGCTCTAGCCACTTCTAAGAGATGCCGATTTTTTTTTTCGGCGAGACCATTTTGTTAAGGACTATCGACACAGGAGGATTGATGAATGATTCCTTTTTCAAATAAAAAATTACCGAGTACATTAGAGAAATATTCACGACCATTATCCGTTCAAAAAGTAGAGAAATATTCACGACCATTATCCGTTCAAAAAAGTTGAATAGCAATACCAAATTGGGTTTTAATCATGTTGTAAATATTTTGCAAGCACTGAAATGTTTCAGATTTGTCTTTTAATAGGTATATCCATGTCAAACGAGTATGATCATCAATAAAAGATATAAACCATCTTGTACCCGAAATATGTCACACGGGATGGACCCCAGAGATCACTATAAATAAGATTGAAAGGCGAAGATTTTTCATAAATTTTTGAGCGAAAATGTGCT